CAAATTGAAAATAGCAAATTTGGTTTCAATATCCAATATTAAGTCTTATTTTTAAGGAAGCATAAAATAAAATTTTTAAAACGTGTTAGTGGGCATCACTAGAAATTATTATTCATGGCAGAAATAAATTTATAAGAAAATCTAAAACGCATATTCCAGAACACTGAAAAGCCACTGAATTTTCCTACTTGCATATATATGATTCAATACTAAACAATCAAAATTAAATTTGAATTCAATTTGTATCATATGCTAACAATATTTCTTAAAATCTAATGATCTGTAAATAAGTTTGTCAAAATGGACCATGATATTAATGAGCCTTCAATTCCCTAAAGCCACAATACCATTTCTTCATAGGTTAAATTTAAAAAAGAAAACCATTTACCCTTGGCAAAGCGGTTTCATAATTTCTACTTTTAGAAACATGTAATTTTAAAACATGTATGTGTTCATTTTGTAGTAGAAATATACAATATTCTTTCATACTCTGAAGAAGGTACCTAATTAAGAAAAAAACCCTTTGGAAGATTTCCAATCCATATATCACTATGAACATTTCTCTTCTTCTATAAATGAACTTCCTGATATCTAATAAAAATGTATGCTGATATAATTAGCATTATGCAATACATCATTACATTTTGACAGTAAATAGAAAGTGAGAAAGTAAAATTATTTCATATTTGCATTACACCAATTCTTTATGAAATATTTATGTTTTGATCCTCAGAATTTTTTTATAAGAAGAAACCTAATTCACTCAAACTTAAAATGTTGTTCTTTTAAAAATGAGTATAAAAGTTATTCACTTTATAATACTGGTACAATCACCATGAGAAATATTTGACTTGTGTCTTATAAGCCAAATAGTCTGCTATAAACAGGAAGAAAAGAGTATTTACTGTTGTCAGACTCTAACATTATGCTGTATAAAATTATTTCTCTCAGTCTAACATGTCTACAGCATAGACCATGAAAGCAGAATTTGAAATAACTTAAAAATTTTTGAAATATAAAGAACTCCAGATGAAAATTGAGTATGCAGTGCTCTCCTTGATGATATGTATTTTTGTATGCCATATACATGCTACATGAACTGATGGAAATATATATGGATAATTATAGAAAGGCACTAGGTTGAATTAAAATTAATGATAAAATGAGCAGTTGTCAAATGTAGTGTTAACTGACATAAGGTCCCTTTGGATCTAGATGTTACATAATTATTTTTATGAACAAGACTAATATCCACCCACCTTCTTTAATTTTGTATTGGCAAAAATACATATATTTGTAGTAGCCAAAAGGTAGAGAACATGGAGGGGTTTGAGAAACGTTATCCATAAATAAAAGTTAATTTGGTAAGTTTAATTACCTCTTAACATTTTATTTCCTTTGAAAATCAATTAATTAAATGCTCCCGTCTTTAAACATTTAAACCCATTTTTTTTGTTTTGTTTTTAGGTTCTTCTTTCTCAGTGTAAAATTTAGTCTTAAAATTGGTTAACTAAGTATTTTGCCACCCCTGCAAATATCTTAATTTGGAGCCACCTGAAAAGTACAACAAGAGCATATTCCTGAATGAATTAGAAGCGTATTTGTGATCTGTTTATTTTCATTAATTTGGAGTTGTGTGACCTGGAATAATCCATTGAGCTCTTGAAATTAAGAAGCTAGTTTTTGGCATTTCAAACAGGGACTGAACTCCCTCCCTCTCTTGCCCTACTGAAAAACAATGAAGAGAAAGGGCAAGAGAAAAGAAGAAGGGAGAATGGAGGGAGATGTAGGGGAAAAGGAAGAGAGTCAGGAAAAATAGAATAGGGAAAAAAAGTATACATATTTAATTTGAATAAAGTTGCTAACAACATAACTTAGTAACAAGGATGGAATTAATGCCATAGGGCAAGAAACTGGTATCTTAAATTAGGTTCTTAAGTCCTGACCTTTTACACATTATGTGTGGATGTTTTCATTGTACACTGTTAGATTTGCCTATTGCAGTTGAGGCAACAGTGGTGAGCAACTGGATATCCAGGACATTTACCCAAATCTTACACTTCACATGTGTAAAGGTGATAATCTTGCCTAAAAGAAAAAGGGGTTCCAAGTGCATTTATGCTGAAATTGATTAACACATAACTTTAATCAAGAGTTTAGCTGTAAATAATTTGAATATTAGCATACGAATTATCACATTAACATAGAATATATTTACTTTCGCTGAGATAATTGAAGTATTTACACTATATTCACATATAGACAAAAATAAGATTTCACAATGTCTACCTGGAAATATATTTGTTTGAGATTCTGCAACATATCAAATGGAACAAGCAGAAAGAGTAAGCTTAGTTTGTATCCAAATTTTAATTGATGCCTGAAACATTACATATTGTTCTCCAAAATTCTACGGAGAGCATTTGCAGGGTTCCTTAATCCAATCATATACCACTGATATACCCAATTTAATTGTTTCCTCAGCGAACAACCTGAAAAACCAAAAATCAAATATTCGAAACCACACAAATTATGTTCTATTGTATATGTTAACGTATTGGCTGGATACCATGAATAAGGAGAAAGATAATCCATTTTTTAATTCTACGCAGTTTCATAATTCTACATTTTAAAAAATTTTCAAGTTTATTAGAGCAAGAATGAGTTTACTTTATCCTTATCATAAAATTGGGAAAAATATAATTCAAAAATTAGAAGTAACCACTTTTCATAAATCATATAATTGTTACTTTTGAGATTTAAAAAAAATGTTTGGACACCTTAGGAAGAGTAGAAGTACAAATGAGCTATCTAAAAAAAGTGTATGTGACAAGATTATGTGCAATAGTGCTGGCTTGAAATAATATTATTTTGTAAATCTTTGAAAAATGCATCAACAAACTTTCTTTGGAAGCTACTTACATTGTTCAGAATTTCATGTAATTCTTATCTCTTACTTTTTAAGCATCAATTAAGAAATAAATCTCAGTTACATGGAAGTTTCCACTTTGTATTACTATTTTATAATTTATACAATGGTGTCATATCTACATATAACATTGAGGAAGTGATTTTGACCTTGAAAAAATAACTCCCATTGTGAAGAAAAATTAGTAACAACCCCAATTGTGAAGTCAAATGCTATTATTTATTCTTATTTTCTAATCCTGGATCTAATATGGAGGAGGTAGATGAAGAGTAAGAGATACTTTTTTTTTCTTTTCATGATAATATCATGGCATTATTAAGATTGTTACTTTCCCCTTTGAAAGAAAATTTTGGAAGGGAAAATGTTGTACAGAATGGGGATAGTTTATTTCACTTGACCAATGTAGGATTACTCATTTTTTTTTTTTTTTAATTCCTCAGGGAAACTGTTACCACCTGTTCAATCCAAATTCAAGCAGTTTCTGTCAATTTACTCATGGGTGAATGCTGCCTCTTTGTGGCAGAATGCCATGGAAAGTGTTCTTCAAACATAAAGTTCATGAACAGCCCTTGATATTGTTTTTACACATTTCTGGTGAGATTACGGGAAAATCCACCAACAGCAATGAAGCACATGGCTCTTTAAGTTTCAGATTAATTCAAACATTTCCTACCCTTAAGTATTAACCTAAATTCACCGGCAAGCTTTACTCAGAGGTGAACAGCTTATACCCAGTAACTTTTGAACATTTAGGATATAGATTAACTTGAGATAAAGAATCCAACATAATTGTCGAAGATAGTTTTGCACGAGTTAAACTTAGGAAAACTACGGGAATATTGGAAAATTAAGACACTACAGGAGTTGTAGACTGAATAAATAATACTGACATGGCAAAATACATAACATTGGGAGAAAAATGAATAGGCAGTATATTACTTACCACGGTCCATGTGTTAGATGAATACTTCAGTAAGGAAAGAAAGTGTACAATTGAAATTTCATTAATAAACATATTAATGCCACATTTAGAAAAAACATAATTCCCTGAATTTGCAAAGGTGAATTTTACATATATATATATACATATATTCAAATTTGATAATTAGGGCAAATTTTTTAATATTAAGAATGAAAGTTAGCTGCTATGTCCTAATTGTCAATAATGGAGATTCAATCACACATAGCTATTTCTTTTGCACCTTAAGCAATCATTACTTCAGTCCCTCATATTTGATATAGTTATCAAGTGTTTATTCAGAAACTATTTAAAAAATTACATGTGCTGGGATACATATGAGACTGTAACAACAGTAGCCCCATCTTACAGAGATCCTGTTTGTGGTTATCATCATTGCTTGCTGCCCCAGAGGGTTAAAGACATTGTATAGAGATTTGTACAGTCCATCGTTTGGTCTTCTGAGGTGCCAGTAACATGTGGATCTGTACAAATGCAACTGGGTTTGGTTAAACAATCAAAAGTTGGCTACAATAGTAGTCAAATCAATACATCATTTTGGTTGACTAATAAAAATACGTTTAAGTCTTCTCTAATAAAACCAGAAACTTGCACATGATTCTTACTCGAATGGCCCAATTAATTGCCCTCATTTTTTTTCTCTTATCCATTGGGATACAACTTGTTTGTTTATTTGTTTTTAAATTACAGATCCAATTGGGTGGGTTGCATTGATTTTACGATTTTCCCATTAAGTTCTCCATATGTTTAATGATTTAAAATGCCTTCCTGATATCACTTCAGTTTTGGAAATGCAGCTCCTAATATAGTGCGACACCTCTGTGAAAATCATAGGCTAAATAGTGAAGGAAAGAGAAATGCTAAATGTGTATATAAAAATAGGTGCTACAATAAAATATTTGTATATTTCATCAATAAGTTATTTTGACTAATCAATTATGGATCATATAGCTCTGTAATTTAATGATTTGTCCACATCTATGGTGATCCTTTTTCAGATCACAATACTTTTGTTTTTAATTCAAATGTCCAGAATGCATACAAACACATCCTTTAAAAAGAAAGGAAAAGTAATGAGAGAGGAGGGAGGGAGGCAGAGAGAGAGACTTGGGGGGCGGGGAGGAAAAGGGAGAGAGAACAAACTTTCTATTAAAGTTGGGGTGTGCTAATCTCTCCACAAAAGCCATTTAGACCCACCCATGGCTTAAAGGGGAGGGGGAGGAGAGGAGGGAAAGGGAACAAAAGAGGAAAAGTAGAATCTATGCGCTGCCATCTTCCACCCTTCTTAGCGCTTCCAACCACTACAAAAATAACTGCGACCTTTAACAAGTCACCTGCGCAGCAAACTGCCCTCCATAAACCCTTCTCCTCTCCTCCCCCACACGCAAGAAGAGAAAGTGATGTGCCCAGTTTACACAAATGTTTTCCCCACGTGTAAAAATTAAAAGGAAGTTGCACACCCTTTCAGTATCTTCCGCCGAAGCTGAGAATCTCGTGCCAAGGCACTTCACCCTAAACGTTGAAACAACACAATTAATCAAATGTGTTCACCGTGTGTGTCTGCTTGCTTGTTTGTTTTAAATGCAAAAGCTCCCAGGGAGTTTCTCTGCTTTTAGAACTGGCTAAATGTGGTCTGTTTTTCCAGCACTTCGAGGTAGTCCGGCTCAACGTTTAGTTTTGCTTTTAACTCCAGATACTCGTTCCGGTTGGGTTCTACAAAGACAGCACTGGGGGGGCTGTAGAGCACCGGTTCCCGCAGCCTGCTGTCCCCGGCCCCCGGGTGCAAATACTGATGGGGGCGTCTCAGGTCATAGTTGGGGGAGAAAGTGTAAGCAGCGGGGCTGCACGGAAATTTGGGATATTCCGGGAGGCTATTGCCGGCGGGGGTGGTGGAGCAGTGTTTGTCTGGTTCTAAAATGCCCCTGTAAAAGCGGTCGGCGTCCTGCACCGGCGACAGTAGGTCCTCCCGGGGCTCGATGGTGCTGACGCTATAGGCGGGACTCCGCAAGTGGTGGCTTTCCCGCCTCTCCTCCTCCCCCGGCTGCAGCTGCAACTGCGGCGGGGGCTGCTGCTGAGGCTGCTGCGGCGGCGGCGGCGGCGGCGGCGGCTGTTGCTGGAGGTGGTGGTTGCTGCTGTAGGTGACCTTGAGCTCGTGCAGGTCTTTGTAATCCTCCACGGAGTTGCCCTCTCGAGAGCGGTAGATGGGGTTTTTGCACATGTGGCCCAGTGGGTGGGGGATGTACTCATACACGTGGCCCGCGGGCGTCTTCACCTTGGGCAGCGCGGGCCCGCGGTGGTGCACGTGCGCGTGCGGGTGGCCTCCCGCACCGCCGCCGCCGCTGTACACGCTGTACTGCATGTTGAAGGAGCTCACGTCGGAATTGTTGGTGCTGGTGTGGTCGCTCTGGTTCTTCTTCCTGCGCTTCATAACCAGCACGAAGAGCCCCGCGGCCACAAAGACGGACATGATAAAAACCAGCAGCAGGCTGAGAATCAACACGGACAAGGGCACCGACGACGCCCCTCCGCCCGCGCCCAAGCCTGCGGGGGCCCCGGTGCTGTTCAACCGGACCGCGGGGGTCACCGCGCTGGTCCTCGCTGGGACTTGGATGGAGGAGGGCGTGGGCGTGGAAACCACCACGTCAGAGTAGTCTGGGCACAGCAGCTCCGACTTAATAGAGCGCATATCCGTCTCCGCAAACTTCTTGGGCGCCTTGCAGATGACCTCGTCCACCAAGACACCCACTTTGAGCTGCTCGACCCACAGCTTCATGCCCACCACGTCGCAGGTACAATCCCAAGGGTTGTCATGCAGGTCGATTTGGATGAGTGACTTCAGCTGGTCCAGAACTCCACTCACGGGCAAGGAGGTGAAATGGTTACTCCTTAGGTTCAGCCTGAGAAGGGTCAGGCCAGAGAAGACCCCTGAGGGCATGGTCTGCAGGAGGTTGTTATTCAGGAATAGCAGCTGGAGGTTTGGGACCGGATCGAAAGTCCCAGATTGAATCTCACGTATGAGATTGTACTGGAGGAAGAGATACTGCAGGCTTTGCAGGCCATAGAACAACTCTGGGCTCAGCCTCTCTATCCTGTTGCCATTTAGGTAGAGGCGCCTCAGGTTGGTGAGATCCCCGAAGGCGCGGTCCTGGATCATTGAGATGCGGTTGTTGCCCAGGTGTAGGAGGTCCAGCCCCGTGGCCTCCAGGAAGTCGCTCCTGCGCACAACCGCAATGTAATTCTCTGTCAGATACATTTTTTTGGGGTTGTAGGGCTTGGGCTGCAGTTCTGCGATGCTCTCGATTTTGCGCTCCTGGCAGTTGACGTTGAGGCCCAGATCCGAGATTTGTAGGTTGCAAGTGCACGCTGTGGGACACTCCAAAGGCACCGGAGATTTGGTCTGGTAGGCGATGCTGGGGCCATAGTTGCCGTAGCCCAAGTCCTTGGAGGGCTGCCGAGAGGTGGGGCGCACTCTGGGCTTGTTGGGTTGGCGGGTCCCCTTAGGGGGCTTTAAGGGGGGTTTGTAAACAGCAGAGGAAGAAGTGGCCACTGAATTCACTGAGGCTGGGGTAGTGTGTAAATACCCCGTGGTGCTCAAAGGCGTCTGTGGCCTCATCTCATAATCTGAAATAAGTTTCCTTGGGCAAAGTTCCTGCTTGGACACCTCATCCAGATCTCTGCCATGTAAGCGGAAGGGGGTCTCACAAACCACATCCCCCACCAGGGCAGAGTAGGAGATGCTGTCCAACCAATCCTTGAGAGAGATCAACTCACAGGAGCAATTCCAGGGGTTTTCTTCCAGCTGTAACTCCACAACTTTATCCATGTGCTGCAACAGCCCCACATAGGGCAGAAGTTTCAGCCGGTTCCCTCGCAGGTCCAAGTGCGTTAAGGGCACAAAACGGAAAAGGTTGTTGGGTAAACTGGACAGGAGATTGTCATTGAGGATAAGCACCTGCAATAAATGCAGTTTCCCAAAAGCATTGGGTTCAATGACACTGATGTAATTGTAATCGACCTGTAGGTACTCCAGGCTCTCCAGGCCAAGGAAGGTATCATCACGCAGAAGTTCCAGTTTATTATTGTTCAGATGCAATCTCCTTAAACCCCGCAGCCCATGGAAAGCCCCAGTCTCAATGTCCTGGATCACGTTGCTACCCAGATGCAAAATTGAAGCCCCAGTGTAATTGACAAACTCATTGGGATAAAGACGGTTCAGAAGGTTTCCAGACAACAAGAGGTGGTAGATTGGGAAACGGGGAGGGCTAATTTCAGAGAGGCTGATGATACCCCGGTTTTCACAGCTCACAGTTAAAATGCCGTCCTTTTCCTCACAAGGACATGCATTGTCACAGATTTCCCCATAATAATCGATGGTTTCTGCACACGAAAGGACGAGAGATGTTAGAGCAAACGCTAGAGTCTGCAGCATCCAGCTATGCATTTTTCTGTGAAGGTCCTGTTCCAAAGTTACTGGGGGGCAGCAAGTGTGCATTTTACCTCCTGCAAGGGAGAGAGAGAAAAAGGAAACAACAGAATATGACAAAAATTGAAGGGATTCTTAAGAAAGTCTCTCTTGGCCCTAATACTATTTCTCTGAAATCCAGAAGGAGGGGATATGAATGGCATCCCCCCCACCCAGTGGAACACCGACATTCTTCAGACTTTAGTAATATCTCATATTCATTTTGATTTAAAGGTTGATTTCATTTCCTAATGAGTACAACAGGAACATGCTGCCCTCTACAAGATAAGGGCAGGTTAAAGTCCCATTTTAGTGGCTTTCCTTGCTCCCCCCCTTTTCAAAACCAATCCATAAATATACATAAAATGGCTGTCAGTTCAGTTTCATGGTTCTAATTTAAGAGAAAAGAAGCACCATTTTACAGGGTTCCCCACCTCACCTATACCAAACACGTCTGCATTTCTTTCAGAATCTACTCAGTTAACAGTTCACCGTGAAGGTCTCCCATTTTTCACAGAAAAGCAAAGAGTCACAATACTTGGGCTATTTTAAACCATCGCTGGAAATGCCAGGGTGGGAACCTAAAGAATACTTTTCAGAGGCAAAAAAGATGTAAGATAATGCATCAGAAGGACCCAGAAGAAGCTCTTAAACCACCAATTGTCTTCAGGAGCTTTGAGTAAGGAGAAAAGGAGAGCGCGTTCGCTTTGATGGTGGACTTCACTACCACGCTTTTAAGAAGATCAGTGTCCTAATTGCATGCACGGTGCCACTTAGCAGCGCTTCTCTGAGTGCGCCTTGCGTCCACTTCTCCTCATTGATCATGCCAGCGACGCTACCAAACCGCATCTTTAAGCCACAGAAATAGTTCTGCACGTTGGATTACAAAGAACTCAGCGAAGGCATCCGCAACCCCGGAACACCTCCCGATACCTGGAGTTTAAAGAGGACGTTCCTACCGCTTACCGGGAATCAGCTAAAAGTAAACCAAGGGCCAGAGCCAAAGCTTCCCTTACCTCCCGCTCCGCGTCTGTTTGCCACGGTATGCAAAACTAACCCTCCTGAATTAGCAAGATTTAGACTGAACTACCACCTCACTAGCATCCCCATCATCTTTGGAGTTGTTTAGTACCTTTAATCGTCAATATTTTACTCTCCCTCCCCCTCATTTCCCCCGTTAAGAGAAAGGGCACTCGGGCTGATTAACAGGCAAAATAGAAAGGATGAAGGGAGGGAGAACAGCAAGTGACATAGGTCTGTGCTTTAATATCCGAATTTCATTTCCTCAAGGAATCAGTCTGAAGCCCTCCCTCTTTTCTTTCTCGCTTTCTTTTTTGTCCTCTTAAAGGCTTCCTTCGACTTCCTACTTCGGGTCGACAGCGGTACTCAAAAAGGAAAGGACATAAATGGAGAGAGTGTGTGAGTGTGTGAGTGCGTGTTGTGTTGGTTGCGGCGGGGGTGGGGGGACGGGGGACGGGAATCTGATAGAGATGCTGGGCTCTGGGAACCCATGCCTTTTCTCCAGTCAACCTTGCCTTTGCCTCGCCACCACCGAAGTCTGATGTCAAATCGCAACCCAAACTAAAGCCAAGACGTTTCTGAGTCATGGGTTCAAGCCTTGAGACTCGATCTTGCTCCCCTAGCCGAATCCAGCCCGCGTTATTAAGAGCCCCTGCATTCGCACGCACATGTGCAAGTGTGCCTGCGAATCATTCACGTGTGGCTACCCAGACGTGTCGAGACGAATCGGAATCACAGTGTATAAACCTCGCAAGTATCTCCGATCTCCCGAGACAACCGCAAACGCCTCCTGGCTTAAAAGCGGCAAAAACACCCCCTATGGAAAGCAAAACGTTTACCTTGAAATTTCAGTTCTCCACTGGATCAAATCTGCACATCCATTCAGCGGGGGTTGGGTCCCCTCCCCCTCCTCCCCACTGCTTCCCCGCCCCCATTCCCCTCCCACCCTTTCTGACAGCCCATTGCAAATTGTGTCCAGCCGGTATTAACCTGGAGCGTTTACAACTTTAATTCAGTTCTGGTTAGCCGGGGTCGAAGAGCTTCCTCTCACCCCCACTCTCTTTCTCCTCCTTGCCATCAAAGGAGCCCAAAATTTTGAGAAAATAAAGTTGAATGAGCCGGGGAAGGCTGACATTCTGACTGGGAAACGCACCTCTGATGTAAATTAGCGGGTGCGTTGCACATTCTCAGATTATCACATCTCAGATTATTATTATTATTATTATTATTATTATTATTATTATTTTGGAGGGTGGGGGCGGAGGGACTGTATTTGTTTGCTCCAAAGAATTTAGACCCTAGACCATCGCCCTGTACATCTCTCATTAAAAAGAGTGGGGCTGCGCGGGCTGGAGCCCAGCACCCAGGCCCGACCCGTTGCTCTGGGCGCAGCTGCTCCCACAGCGGCCCAGGCAGAAGCACCCGGAGTTCCAGGACGCGAGGCTCCCTTCCCCCACTCCGCCCCAAAGCGAAGGAAGAGAAAGGGAAGGAAGGAGGGGAGGGAGGACAGGGAAAGAAAGCCACCCCGCTGCCACACACACACACACACACACACACACACACACACACACACAGGAGCGTCTTTTGCAAAGTAAACGGTCGACTTACCCCGTCTCACATCTCCAGGGCCCACTCATCATAGCCGCCCGTATACAAAATACCTCTTTGGGGTGTGCACTGGATTTCCTGAGCCCAGGCAGGGCAAGAAGGCGGAGAGCAGTGCGGTCCAAGCTGCTGAAGGAAAGAGGCGCCCGGACGCCGCCAGCCCGGGGCCGCCGCCGCGGTGGCGACCAAGGGTTCGGGGGCTCCCCAAACGGCTCTCCCCGGCACTCTCCGTGGTAGTCGGAGTGGGCAGCGGGGTTGGGGGGGGGAGGGTAGAAGGGGGCGATCGCGAGCGACCGGCAGGGATGGGAAGAGGAGGTAGAGGCGCCTCGCGGTAGGGGCCGGGAGCCGGAGCCGGAGCCGGGCGGGGCGGGGAAGGAGCTGTTGGAGAGGGGGGAGGCGCGGAACCCGAGGAGGGGACGTGAAGGCTGCCTGGCACCGCCGGCCCCTCCAACGTGACGGTCAGCCCCGCCGAGCGACCGTACCCGCTCACACTCACGCTCACTCGCACACTCGTTCTCACCCGTGCCACCGCGCGAACGCAGGGTCCCAGGCACCCTTCGCCGCACTCCCCAGGCGGGTACTTACAGTTGCCATCTGCATAAGGGGCAACTTTCTCCAAGCCAGCAGCAGCCGCCGCCCCCTCCAGCAGCCTCCGGCTCCACGTACCCTTCGGCCTGGGTTCGCGCTGGCCGCCCCTCCCCTCCCCCCTCGGCTTTCCTCCTCTCTGTCTTCACCACATTCCCCCCTGGTCAGTGGCGCACGCCCGGGGACTAGCCAGAGGGAGCGGGGCGCGGGGGTGTGCATGCATCTCCCGCCTTCTTCTTGCAGCGCACACTGTACATGGTAGTGAGGGGGCGAGCAAAGGTGGCACCGGCCCCTCGGCTACTCCCGCGGCGGCTGCGGCTCCTGCGCCGTCCTCCACCCCCAGCGCAGCGGCGACCACCGCGCTGGGATCTCGCCGCCGCTGTCCCCTCGCCGAGTCCTTCGCCGCCGCCGCCGCCGTCGCGGCCCCTAATTAGTGTTTGTATGGTTCCCGCATCCTCTTGGCGGTTTCATCGCTCCCAGTATTTGCAGGGGTTTTTCTCATCCCTTCCCCAGATGCGGCGCACGATCGTCATTATTTGGAACTCTCTATCTCCGACATCCTTTAGGGGGCCTGGGGGGACAGGAGCAGCGTTGTTCTACGCCTGTGGCGTGTCCCGGCAGCCTGGCGGCTCTAAAATACTCAGAGAAAATCGCGTCTTCCCTCCCGGGCGCTGAAAATGTGGCAACACGGTAAGCATCACAGGGGTCTCTGAGACATCTGCTCCAGCTCAGGGCCCCGTCCAGTGCACTTGTTTATTGTCGCGCCGCTGTGCGAGCCAAGCTGCAGCAGACATGATGGGCCCGGGTCGAAGCGGGCACTCAGTGGCCGATAGATGGCAGCCGAGGGCGAGGGCGTCCCTGGATTCGGGCGGTGCAATCGGAGCACCCCTTGGATGTCACATTCGTGGGAGACAGAGGAGTCTTGGACCATGTGCTTAGCACAAGCGTAGGACTGTGCAATCCTTGGATTGAAAAAGGGAGGAGTGGAAATAACCCCGACAGTGCCAGGCTTGTTGGTGGTCAGGGACAGACGATTCCTGTGCTCTTCGCCTGCCTTCCTCCTGCCATTTAGAATAATACAGCCCCTGCTCTGTCTCATGTACTTACTCTAAAGGACCCTGGAAGAGGGAGTGGTCCATCCTAGCTGCAAACAAGGGCGCTAATATATATATGTATATATGTATATACACATATATACATATATACATATATACATATATATATTTAAAGAATTGCATTTTATAGGTGTGTCTGAGCGATGCAAGGGAATGTGAACGACTTTCAGAGAGAATGGTTGTGAATACATTTGGTGTGTACTAAAAGCTGGAAACCCCTAGATAAATGCAGTATCGATAGAAAGCGAGTTTCTTGAAGAGTCACCTGCTAAACTCCACTAGCGTCATCTCTACAGTAAGTATTCCTGTCTCTTTCCATGAAACCAGGCACCTCCCTCCCCTGAGGAAGGAGGGGGGGGGTCTTTACATTCATAGGCATATTTCTAGTGTTTGTAATATTAGACCTGCAGTCCTTCCCGGGTATAGAAAAAAAAAGTTGATTATAGCAATTGGCCCAATGGAGGCTGAGTGCACATGTACCTATTCTATGATAACTGGGTAGTTTTACCACTTAAATATTTTTATATACCTTATTTTAGGATTAATTATGAATTAGTTATTTTTGGAATCCTCTTAAACATAATTGATATTATCTCCTTGGTGATATTTGGGATAGTGTCGTGGTTATAATATCTTGATTAAATATAGGATTATAAAGATTCTAACACCTATACAAACATATCTTCCCACATCCTGTCTCTGTGTTGAAATTAGGAGTCCTCTAGAGGTGGTTTATACTGCAGTCTCTTGAGATTTTGCAACAGTTCTTGAAATTTCTTCTCACTCTGTTTTGCAAATATTTTTCAGTTAATCCATACATACCTTGTTTGAAACAATTTTATTTTGTTTAAATTCAGGGCATGTGCAAGAGATGGAGTAAAGAAGTAATCTGTAGTATTGGGTAATGATAACAAAACCTTATAAAAGAACTTCCTATAAATTTAGAAACGTTTGGCCCCAAATGATAGCCACTTGCTTCAGTTACCTTATAAAAACAGACAACTTAAACTTCACCCACAGAAGTCTTGTTACTGTATATTTTATTTAGTCATCGTTGCCTAACATGATACGAATAATATAGAAATTTTATTTTTAAAATATAACATTGCTTTTAAGTGAATGTGTAAAAGTGTCATAACTTAAAAATTATATATCATTTATAGTTGGAAACTTCTGGCATTTTATCACAGACATAATTTTCGCTGTGGGCAAATTCCATACAAGTTCTGAAAGGGTATAAAATGGTTTAATCGATTACCAGACTTCTCAAAATAGATGTAGAGTAGCTATTTTAGTTAATTCTTTCATTGCTTTCTTAAATCTTCACAATTGTATTAAGTATCAAAATTTGTTTTAATTTTTGATTTGGTATTATTTTTATTTTAAAAATTTATCCTGATTAAAATAGATTTTGTCAAGCTAAAATTATTAAACATGTTTGCACTTATTTTAGATGCTGGTTTTGTTAGAAACACTGACATAAAAATATTCCAGTTTATTTCTTGTGGTTCAAATGAGAAAGTGATGACAACTCTCTACCATTAATTCAGTATTAAGAATAGCCTGAGAAGCTTCCGTTAAGGTTTACCGCTAGGTGTCTCTCTCTGTAAGCTGCTCTGCAGGACAGTGAATTTTGAGAAAATAACTGTGACAGGCAGAGATCAAATAGAAGAACTCGGGAGGAAAAACATAGAAATAAGGAAAATTTTCCTTTGTTAGTCTTTGGACTCTTGTTTGTTTTGAATATTGACTATGGCCTAGAAAAGAAATAAATGAGTCATGTAACAGTGATCAAATCTGAGCCAAGACCCAAGACTTTTGGCTACAAAAACGAATATATATATGTTTCAGTCCATACTAAAAAATACAGTCATATATATACTTGCTTTCACACAATACTCAACGTACAGGATTATATAAACACTTTGGAAATTAGAAAATGAAATGATTGATCAAATAGATCTGTCCAGAATTAAGGGCATTATGCTAAAAAACATTATTTGATTGAGATGGTTGGATGTGAAAAGTTGAGAATCTTTGCCTAATGTTTGTGAATATATTTATGCGTATTATAATTTGCTCGTGATCTACTATCAGCATAAATACATTTTATATATGGTAACATATTTGGTAATAATTAATAGAAATTATGGACATAATCTGATACCTCCCCATTAAAATTTAAACTCAAACCACAATGAGCATACTTATCAGTTGAAATTAACCATACATTTGTGTGAATTCATATTTATTATTACCTGGAATTGTCATTTTAGTGTTTTATAGATTCTTTGGAAGAATTCTTATATTAGGTGCATTTCTTAAAATATCTCATCATATTACATTTATGTATTGTATTGTTTCTTTAGAATATTAAAATGCCTAGTCAAGAATTATAGTCCCTTATGAAATAACCTGAAAGAGATTATTCTTTGGTAATAATAATGATATTTCATAAATACTAATTAACATTATTGAAATCTAAAACAAGTAGACCTTGCATTTCTTTTTGTTAGCCTACCTGGTGAGTTACGATTATAAAAAGTAATGCTGGATTCCAGACTCCATCAAAATTAGCTCTAAGAGATTACTGTCATAATAGTAGTAGCTAAGAAGTCTATACAACCCTATTTAGTAAACAACACATTTTTCAGATATAGATTATATTTTCAACATCTTTGAAATTTAAATTATATATACTACATATCCTTAAAAGCCGAAAAGTTTCTCCTGATGGGGAAAACATGAGTCATTATTTATGATCATTTCTCTATGTAATTGATAAGCCAAATAACTGTAGTGTAGCCCATTTTTTTAATCAGTTTGGTACATTTAGAATTACAATAATCAAAATTATCATACGGTGATATTTATCAAACCCAAAATGGTTAGCTCAATGGGTTAATTTCACTAAAATTATTTATTCACTGATAGACTTAATTTGTTACTTACAGTCTTAGAAATTTACTATCAGTGCCAGAAGAGAATGATGTGCATAAAATAAATAATTTTTCTTCCTTGCCTCATACAGTTTCTTATAAATATACTTTGATAATCTTTTGACCGATTATGTATTAAAACCCTCACTTAGAAGGACCAATTGGAAATATCTTCCAAAATTTAAGATGCATTTTTTTTAACAATTTTCTTTTCAGAAAGTAGCCTACATGTGTACCAAAACAAAATGCACAAAACAATATGTAGGAAAATGTTCATTGTAACACATGCTTGCATTTGTAAATGACTAAGAACAGCCCACATGGCTAAGTAGAAAGTGGTATATCTCCATCTATACCCTCAAATATTCTTCTGCCTTTAATAACAGTGTATATAAGTATATGGTTCTGTCATTATTGATAGTGTGTAGCATTATCTATATACACTGTTGTGGTGGAGGAGAGAAACTTTCCGGAAAGATATGCAAATTCAGTAATGGCGTGTGCCTTTTGGGAGAAGACTGGGGAGTCTTGAGTAGAATGAAGATTTTTCACCCTATATTCTATTTTTTATTATTTGAAAATTTCAATTTACATGCACATTTCCATTAAAAATTTTAAAAAGTATATATACTGGAAAAATAAGGATATTACAGTTGGTCCCTGACACACAACGGTTTGTCTTAGGATTTTCAACTATACAATGGTGTGAACAATACACATGTAGAAACTGCTTGGACTTCTGAATTTCGATCCTTTCCTGGGACAGTAAAATGTGGTACGATTCCCTTTTGCCGTGCTGGGCACTGAAATGGCCAGCCTTAGTTCCTAGTCAGCCATGTGATCATGACCATAAACAACCCATACACTTAACAATTATTCATATGCCCATATAGCCACCGTTTTTCACTTTCAGTATAGTCTTCAATAAATTATCGGTAGCATTCAAATTCTTTTAATAAAATGAGCTTTGTGTTAGACGTTTTTGCCCAAACCCTAAGCTATTTAGGCGTTGT